ATTCTCACAAAATATCAATTTACACATCTGTAGTATGGTGAAAACAATTATTTTAATACTTGGCACCAAAGTTTACTATTGCAATAAAATCTGTTATATATCCAAACTCCTTACATTCATGGTTTTGGAGAATTTCAAGGAAAAATGATTAATTTTCTTGTCTGGTCTGGTACAGACAGAGTAAGGAATAGCCACAAGTGGTGTGGTGCAAGAAAAGAGGAAGAGTTCAGAAGCAGGAATACAGAGCAAGGATTAACTATGGAATTCACAAAAGTATGGGAAAGGGTGCTAAAACTAATTTTATATAAATCCCTGAGATGGTTAATCACATGTGTATACTTAACTGGGCTACTGGGTGCCCAGATCTTTGGTTAAACATTATTTTTGGTTGTTTCTGTGAGGGTGTTTCTGGATGAGATTAACATTTAAATCAGTAAACTGAGTAAAGTAGAGTTCCCTCTCCAGTGTGGGTGGGGGTCATGTAATCTGTCAAAGGTTTGAATAGAATAAAAGGCTGAGTGAGAAAAAAATTCTCTCTCTGCTTGCCTGTCCTCTAGCTGCAACATCAGTTTTCTCGTGCCTTTGGGCTTTGGACTAGGACCAGAATCTACACTATCAGCTCTCCTGGTTCTCAGGCCTTTGGACTAGGAGTAGAACTACACCACTGGCTCTCCTGGGTCTGGACATTTTAGCTTCCATAATTGTATGAGCCAATTTTTTTATAATAAAATTGCATGAATCAATTCCTTATAATGAATAGCTCTATCTATCTATCTATCTATCTATCTATCTATCTATCTATCTAACCATCAGTCCACATGCATTCTCTTGATTCTTTTTCTCTGGAGAGCCCTGACTTTTACAATCCCCAAAGACAGTGACCTCTGCTGACATCTGGGTTATGCTTCTAGTAGTTTGTGCTTATTTCACTCTGCCTTGCACTATCTTTAGTTTGATATAAATCTGTCTCCCCCACTACACTGTGAGCTTCTGTATCAACATCTTAACATTTTTGGTGCTATGGACTCCCCTAGCAGTCTGGTAAAGCTTACGACCCCCTTCTCAGAATCATGTCTTTGTTTGCATATTACACAGTACTCAGGTTTACAAAGGAAATCAATTATGCTGAAATACAGTTATTAAAATACTAAAACAAATTGTGCTACAATAATAGGTGCTTTATTTACACATTAAATAACAAGATCCTGTGGCAGGTCTAATAAGTACCATAATTTTGAAGTAGGGATAAGTATAAATGATATTTTGAGATGTTTGATTTATCTTCATTGTGATATGACAATTCCCATGACTTCTTTTGGTGACAAAGTCACAGGTACAATTAATACTACTGTGTTATACTTTCTACATTCATAATTGAAAGAGATTTTAAATTTCAATTAAGGCTGATAAATAAAGGTATAATATTTTTTCCCAATTCAAGTTTACAGAGTCCCTGAACTCCATACCAGAACACCTCAGAGGTCCTCTTTTCTTTTTTATCATACTGCTTTTCACACAGAGTATAGCATGGTCTTTAGTATAGAGCAGGTGATCAAAAAAAAATGTTTACAGAATTTAATCATCATGCAGACCTACTGGTCCAGAGTCAAGCTGCCCCTGAGCCGATTTATGTTGCATTTAAACCCATAATAAAAATAGGGAGAATCAGAGGAGGATAAAGGGAGGAAAGTCAACAGAAAGTTACACAATTTGATCAAGATTCTTAGCCTATGCTGTAGTGCCTCACTTCTTTCGTTACCAGGATATAAACTCTAATGACTGAAAAAAATTGTTGGACAGATCTTAACTTACAAATCAAATAAACCAAAATTTTTACTTTAATGCTCACCTCTCAGACTTATATTTATATTTTCCTTTAAACTAACTTTATTAAATAGCAATAGCCTTAGTAATATTAGCTTTACAGTGTCTCTGTTTAAGTTTTTCAGAAGCTAATTCTGGGATGTAGATTTCTGTGCAAGCAATTTATGGAGGGCTCTCAGGAGAAATCCATAAGGGATTAGGAAAGGCAGGGCATGGCAGGGAGGAGGGGCTAAGCAAGGGTGTGAATTTTAGGTGAAGTCCGGCCTCAGCGTGATCCCGTGCAGAACTCCAGAGCATAAATTGCATTGCAGAGTCTGTCCTGTTTTCAGGCAAGGAGTACTTGTCAGCCATGGGCTTTGGGCTGCCCAGTTTAAATTCAAGTCTATCTGGCACTTGTGACTCTCTATTCCTATGGGAAACTTCAGTCACTCAAAAGTAATCCTTTCATGAGGCTAGAAAGTGTAAGTCCTTAGAAGTAAAACACATGGGACTGAGGGATGAGAGCACAGATCCAACAAAGGGACCTTGGGGGATCTGAGCGAAGCACTGATAGTGCCTGCAGCAACTAGTAAATCAAGGGCAACACAAAACAGCAATAGGGCTAATGATCATAGCCAGCAATTATTGAGTGCTTATTCTATGCCAGTACTGTTTTAATATCATTATAATAACTTACTTAATCCTTACAACCATATGAGGTAGCTGATATTATTATTTCTCTTTTGTCAAATGAGGAAACTAGATTTATCCATGGAAGCATCTGGTCTAAAGTAACACAAAAATGTCATGGTATAACTAAGATTTGAACTTTGGGTGTGTGATTCAACAGCATGTACTCTAAACACCATGTCACACACCCTGGCATGACTTCTCAATACACGAAGCTATTAAGATTGGTAGTGCCTGAGTCATCTGACCTGAGCTTATATCATGGGAGCTCAGAACAAAACGAGACAACACATCTAATGCAGTTAGTGCAGAAAAAACACTCAATAAATATTAGTCACTGTTGTTATTAAACTAGGGAACAAGACAAAGCTTTAAAAAAATCTATTTTCTATAGAAATTTATATCTTGGATCTATAAAAGCCTTTCTTCTGCTATTTTCAGAAAAATTTAAAGAGCCAGGAAATCAACAACTGTATTCTTGACAGCTCTGTTGTATATTATGAAATTTGGTTGAATTTATTTATAGAGAATAAAGAAAGAAGACAAGGCAAGAAAATAGGATGAGAAAAAGAAAGAGGGAATATTATAGATTATTACTAAAAGCTACTGAGAATGACAAAAACAAATATTGTGAACAAAGTCCTATTCATTATACTTCAGTGTTTCCTGAGATCTGGATTTTAAATTGTTTCTTCATAAAGGGAGTGATTTTTAACTTCCCTGAGCATATCACCAATAACTAGTTAATATACCACCACCCATAAACAAAATAACTTTTTTCAGTGTACTAGAAAATTTAGTCACTTTTCATGGCTGGACTACTAATACCAAAAATATCATTTCTGATGTCTTTAAAATCATTAACCACATTTCATTGACATCTGAATTCTAGGCATAGAAAAAATGCAATAATTGTAATCAAAACCTTTGTTTCGGCCGGCCTGGTGGCGCACTGCTATAGTGCGCCGCTTGGGAAG